TCCTTGCTAATACGAGCTGTCTTCCCATATAACCAACCCTTCCAGTCTCTCCCCAGTGCCTTCCAACAACATCTGTGGCGGTCCAACTGACTCGGACACCTTCCGTGGCCTCACGCCATTCAACCCAAACACACACACGACTATGGTCAACACAGAGAATATGAATACGACACTCAGGCGAATGGAAAACAACAGCCCAGCTCACCTGGAAGAACCGGATAAAGTTCTGGCTCACGTAGAGCGATATCGGCACGAACCCGTACAAGAGGAGGAGGTAGTAGAAGAACTGCACCACGAAGTCGGCCACCAAATCCGTGTCCAGCATCAACACCTGTGGATGATGGGAAAAAAAATAATCCAGGAGAAAAAGAGGTAGTTGACCAAACTTCGCCTCTAAAAACCAAAAACATAATCAATCAATGAATAACCACCCTCCTTGGCCTAAAAACACAAAAAAACAAACAAAAATTACCTACTAAATTCTAAAAAAACACTTCACCATTTACGTTATTGGCGACACCTCGATTCATTCCTTGCCCCAAAAACTAAGTTAATAAATTTTAAGCATTGCGGAGGAATTATTTACTCTGTCGCGCCCTCTCTGCTACTTGCTATGCTCCGCTGACGCGAGACATTGTGCAAAATCTGCTCTGTTTTCAATCGAAGTTTTTGCTTCTACTGCACCATCTCACCTGTGCACGAAACTCCTCATGGGCAGACTGCCAGATGGACGAGCCCATCGCTCCCGTGAGGCAGAAAAGGACGAGCATCAGCGCGAGGCCCTTGATCTCCTGTTGGGTGTTTCGGATGGACAAGCAGACGTAATACGATCGAGAAACTATGAGACAACCGGAAAGCTGACGACTCGGGTTCCAAAAAAGGAAGGAGACGAGGAACGAAAAACCCGAAGAAGAGGAATGCAGGCGAACGAATGCATGAACAAGAGACGGACCAATAGGAGGCCGATATACATCCAATCCTCCCTCACGGACAAGACGTGCGGTGCCAAAGAAAACAAAAAACCTACGGACAACCCCGTGGCAATAAAAGGCAAACGCAAAATACCTTTACTAATAAGGCCGTGCTGTGATTGTTGTAAATATTAATGGTGGTTGTATGTTTGGCAACATGCACGGGACTAAAACGCATCAAGACCAAAACAAATGGCGGCGCGACCAAATAACCACCAACGAAAACAGCGCAAAAATTCCAACCTGAATGCAGAGACTTTCCAAGGAAGCGAAGCACAGCTAGCCGCATGATCCCAAAACCTAACCAAAATTAATCACCTAACCGCAATTGATCTACTCCACGACGAGACAAGTCAGAGCGAAGAAGCTGAGCACTGAGCACCCACCGTGTTGACCCTGGAGTTGAGGTGCGAGGTCTTCTCAGGCGCCTGTGCGATGGACATCATGACCTTCGTGTCGTGCCCCGTGCTGATCACCAGCCCCACCGCCCACTGGACAAAACGACAAAACGTTCGCCACCACGCACGCGCGACATCGGGTCACCAACAAACTCGGTGTATAGGCTTACACAAACTCAAAATAAGCCCAGTTTCCAGTCGGTTTCAATTCACTTACTGAAAAGACTTTGACACATCTCTTTCGACTGAGGTTATATCTCGAACGGGAAGTCTCTTCTGTGAGGTTAAAGAAAGAAACGATTTAAAAAAGCACACGACATCGTAGCACAGCAAGAAACGACCAAAACACATGACATCGCAGCACCATCAGAAACGATCGTAAACACACGACATCGTAGCACAACAACAAGCGATCAACAACACATGACCTCGCATCACCACCAACAGCAACAAAAAAAAAACATCGTGGCATAACAACAAATAACCAACACATGACCACCGCGTCTTCAACAGCAAACGATTACTAAAACACATGACATCGTACCACAACACAAGCGAGAAGGGTTGATTCCCGGGGCCCTCCATATGGAAACCGTGGAACACCCCTGGGCTACGCTGCAATCTTGGTCGCTGGGGGGGGGGGGGGGGATGGGCCTTACATGTCCCCGGAGGGGACATTTTGACCAAGTACCCGGGGTTTCGACACCTTTCGCCCGCTTTATTCACCGCGCTCGCGCGCACGGCAACCTACACACAGCCAGTGTGCGCCTGTGCGCCCGTATCTTGGAGGCCATGTCTGCCGCCGAACGACCACTGCTCGAGGAAGAGGGCAGTGCCACACATAGTAGCATTCCTGAGGTCTTACCAAGTGTTGATGGCATCAGACCTGTCTTCAAGAAGGGGCGCAAATAATCAAACGTGGCTCTCGACACCACAAGGTTGCTTACAGCACGACCTTTGGCCCGGCGAAGAAATGAACGCCGCACACTACACAACACCAGCGCGATGGGGATCGATCACGTTTTTCGACTTGTCGATGTATGCGGTTGTCGGGATGACGGAAGGACAAAACCAACAACCACTATAATGCAACCACCACGAACAACATCACCTACGACAACCACGACCAATCACACAACACTCACCACCATCGACAACAACATCAACAGCACCCCCTACAATAACCACCAAGGACAGCAGTACCAACAACAACAACACAGCATCCTACAACAAAGACAAAACAGCATCCCCTGCAGAAAAGACAACAAAAAAAGCATCCCTTACGACAACAACAACAACAACAACAACAACAACACACCTTGGTGTTCCTCAGGACCGTTCCGCGGAGCAGAAGGTTCTCCGGAGTGACCGGCTCCTTGACAACAGTCCTACTCTTCTTCCTGCTGCCGCCCCCCGCCGTCGTCGTCGAGCTAGCGGCGCCATCGACGTCGCCGTGAACACCAACACTGGCGGCTCCGCCCCCGGGCTTTAGGGAGACCTCCAACGACCCCGTGAAGGATGCGATCGCCTTGTTCGGGTGTTCCCTGCACAGAGGGGGGAGGGGGGGGGGGGGGTTGTTCTCGTGCTCAAGACAGAGTGCGCGTTTCTCTGTATGTCCGAGGGTTGAAATCATGCCTAAAGAAAGAGACCGCAAGGGCTTGCTAGCATGGTACTAGACTCGCTCGTTCGAGCGTTCCCTGCACAGAGGGGGGCTCACGACAGAGTGCGCACATTTCTATGAGTGTGGTGAAAAAGCGGAGGGTTTAAGAATCCCTTCAGGGAGAGACGGCAAGGACTTGCGATCATAGCGGGCTATGTCGTCCGGGTGCTCCCTGCACATAGGGGAGGGCGTGGCAGGTAAGCGGGGTGGGGGTTCGAACTCACAACAGAGTGCGCACGTTTCGCTGTATATCGTGAAATAGGTGATGGTTCAAGTAACGCTCAAGGGAGATACCGCAAGAGCTCGCTAACATCGCGGTACTAGACTGTCTCGTTTGGGTGTTCTGCAGAGAGGAGGGGGATACAGGCAGGAGTGGGGGTGGGTCGAGCTTTAGTGGGCACATTTCCATGTGTATGGTGAAAAGGCGAAAGGCTAACATCGCAAAAGGGAAAAACAGCAAGGACTCGCAAACACAGCATTTGGTTATCTCATTCGGATGTTTCCAGCTAAGAGGGAGGTCGCAAAAATAGGCGTGGGGGGGGGGGGGGGGGGGGGGGGGGGTTTCCCCCCTTTTTTCCCAAATTTCCGGCCAAAAAAAAGGGAAAAAATTTCCCAACTTTTTCCGGGAACCCTTTCCGAAAGAAACCCCGGGCCCCCGCCAGAAGGGACCCCCCATTTTTTCCCAAGGGGGGGGG